ATTTTGTGTCTGTATTCCTAAAAGATATTGGTCTGTAGTTTTCTTGTGATGTCTTTATCTGGTTTTGGTATCAGGGTAATACTGGCCTTTCTTCTCTCATCTTTATAGTTTCCTTTCTTCTACTCACTTTGAGTATAATTTGCTCCTTTTTTTTTTTTCTATTTTCTTAAGAAAGAAACCCAAGCCATTGATTTGGGACCTTCCTTCTTTTCTAATGTAGACACTTAGTCCTATAGATTTCCCTCTAAACTCTGCTTTAAACTCATCCCACAAATTTTGATGTGTTGTGTTTTAATTTTCACTTAACTCAAACACATTCTGATTTTCCTTTTCCTTGTTTGATTCATGAGTTATTTAGAAGTATGTTGGTTTGTGTCAAAATATTTAGGGAATTTTCCAGATATTTAAAATTATTAATTTCTCATTTAATTCCTTATAATTATAGCACATACTTCATGTGACTTGAATCTTTTTGTTTCGTTGTTTTTTTTTAAGATTTTATTTATTTATTATGAGAGAGAGAGGGAGAGAGTGAGCGAGTGAGAGAGAGAGCACGAATGGGGTGGGGAGGGGCAGACTCCCTGCTGAGCAGGGAGCCCGATGTGGGACTTAATCTCAGGACCCTGGGATCATGACCTAAGACGAAGGCAGACACTTAACCAACTGAGCCACCCAGGCGCCCCATCTTTTTGTATTTATTTAAACTTACTTTAACATCAAGAACATGCTCTTCTGTGGTGAATGTTTTCATTTGAACCCTTGAGAAGAATGTGCTCTGGTGTTTTGGAATGTAATATGCTATAATTACCAATGCAGTCAGGTTGATTAATAATGAGGGTATGTTTCAATCCTCCATGTCTTTATGTGTATTCTTTCTTCTTGTTAAGAGAGGCATGTTGAAATCTTCACCTATGATTGTGGTTTTGACTCACCCATCTACCTCCCCCTTTCCTTTAAAGACTTCAGTTACACATGTATTAGGTCACTTGTGTTTGTTTTACAGCTCACCTATATTCTGTTCGTTTTTTCCAGTCTTTTTCAATCTTTGTTTAATTTTAGATTATTTCTATTGCTGTGTCTTCAAGTCATTAATATTCTCTGCTAATATTAATTTCATCCATTGTATTTTTAATCTCTGATATTTAGTTTTCACTATTAGAAGTTTGACCTTTTTTCATACCTTCTGTGTCTCTACCTAGCATGTTCAGTCTTTTTTCTGGCTTCACGAATATATGAAATACCATATAATAACTGTTTCAATGTCCTATCATCTGTGTCATTTCTGGGTTGGTTCGCGATTGATTTTCCTCCTCATTATAGATCATATTTGCCTGCTTCTTTATATACACTGTAACTTTTTGTTAGATGTCAGATGTGAATTTTATCTTCTTGGGTGCTAGGTTTTTTTTATCCTTTTAGACACTTCTGGGCTTTGTTCTGGTAGACAGGTTACTTAGGAACAGTTTGATTCTTTTTAGTTGTGCTTGTAAGTAGAATGAGAGCAGCTTTTAAACAAGCCATCTCTTTTTCTATTTCTTTGATCCACTACTGAAGCAAAACCCTTCTGTGTACTCATATTAGTTTCCTATGGCTGCCGTACCAAAGTTCCATAAGCTAGGTGGTTAAAACAACAGAAATTTATTGCCTCATGATTCTGGAGGCTGGGGGAAGTCTGAAATCAAGATGTCAGCAGGGCCTTGCTGCCTCAAACCTGTGGAGAAATTCTTCCTTGCTTCATCATAGCTTTTGGTGATTTGCTGGCAATCTTTGGCATTCCTTAAGTTTATAGATGCATCACTGCAATCCTCTGTCTTCACAAGGTGTTCTTTACATCCTCTTCCATCTATGTATATCTGTCTCTGTGTCCAAATTCCCCTTTTATAAGAACACCAGTCATATTATATTAGGACCCACCCTAATGACCTCATTTTAATTTGATTATCTCTGTAAAGATCCAAAGAAGACCACATTCTGAGGTATTGGGGACTAAGACTTAAATATATTTAAGATTTAAATATATTTTCTTTGTGGGAGACATAATTCAACCTATAACAGTACTGTACCCAAATCTCATGAGTTACGAAGTTTTTCCACTGTGGTTGCTTAGGACAGGAATTACTGCCTGCCAGTGTAAGCTTCTGAAATTGTTCCCTCTAATCTTTGGGGGCAGGTATTTCTCCAGCTTTGGTTAGTTTCCTCACCTGCACATGCTGATCAGTACTCAGATAGAAACTCAGGGGGATTTGGAAGTATCCAGCCTTTTTTCTGGACAGCTGTCTACTCTCTAATACTGTCCTTCAAGCTCTAGCTGCTTGGATCTCCTTAGACTTCTAGCTTCCTCTCCTCAACTTAGCTAGACCTACTAGCTACCTGTATTTGCACCTCCTCACTGTGACCTCGAAAGGCTTTCAGGCAGCAAGCTGAGGCATTTATGGGCACACTTCATTAGTTTTCCATCCCTTAGGGATATCCTTCGTTGCCTGATGTCTAATGTGTTGAACATAGTTTTGTTTTGTTTTGTTCTGTTCTGTTTTGTTTCTAGATATTTTATCTGGTGTTGCCAGTTGTTTCAGGCAGGAAGTTAAATCTGGTCCGCATTACTCCGTGTTGTCTGGAACAACTGGTCTCTTTTTCTAGCCTGTATCTGAGTTAATGATCGCTACTAGAAAAAAATCACACAAGGGTATATCTTGATACTAGTATAAATCCATGGACTTCAGAATTAACTGGGCTTTCAGTGGTGTCTGCTAATGAATATGTGTTCTTATCTCTCCAACCCCTCTTCTCTCATTCTCCAGAGTGTCTGTTTAATATTTTCTCACTCCTCAAATCTCACTTTACCCACGTCACTCCTAGTAGATGACCCTGCCTCCTAACTTCATGGAGGAGATAGAAGCCATCAGAGAGGAACCTCCTCTATGTGTCACCCAACCTGCCGACAGGCCTTCTTTGGCATATATCCTTTCCACTTTTCCACTGCCTTTTCTGTAAGAGTATAGAAATTATCTTCTTCACATTTTGGATTAGTTTTAATTCCTTCATGTGTTCTCAGGAGTCTCTTCTTCTTTCCTCTTTGGGGATTTTGCTCAACTTACTCCTCTCTCTTGGACCTTGAAAGCCATTTTAATATCTTCTTTATATTAGCATTTAAATGTTCAAGTCTCTTTCATCTTAAAAAAAAAAATCCCTGCTTTGATCCTGCTTCTCCCCTTCCCACTCATCTGTGGTTATCACCTTCTCTCAAAGCCAGATTTCTGGAGCAAATTTCCTATCTTTCTTTCTTTTTCTCTATTTCTTTAACATCCATTTACTTCCTAACCAAATGCAACCTGACTTCTGTGTCCTTTATTCCCCTGAAGCTGTGCTTACCAAGGTAGCTGACTTCTTTGTCTGGTGGACATTTTTTGATCCTTGACGTAAATTATCTCATGTTTCTTATACCTAGTTACAAAAACCGCAACCTTAGAATCACAACAGGAATTTGTTAAAAATACAAGGACGTGAGCCCTGACCCCTGGGGATTATGATTTAGTAGGGCTGGTATGGGGCTCTGGAATGTATTTTTTTTTTTTTAAGTTCTTCAGGTTATTTCAGTGTGCAGCCCAGTTTGAGAAACACTGTGCTCCGTAGTACTTAACATGGTTCTTATCTAACCTTATTATTGGCTATCAGTTGATACCGCACACCTTTTCTTGAAACATTCTTTTCTTGACTTCCTTGGCGGCGTACTCGCCAGCCTCGCCTTAGCCCATCCGCACCTCCTACCACCCGTACTTCTTTAGTCCCCTTTGGAAAGTCCTCTTCCTGAAAACCCCTTAAAAGCTGGTGTTCTTCAGGGCCTTCTCACATCATTTGCTTCCCTGATCATCTCAGCTATTCCTAAGCTCTGTTATCATCTTTAAGCATTTTTAAGTTGATCATTCTCAGGGCCTCCAGCCATCTCTTTCCTGAGCCTCGGATGTTTATATCCAGCAACCTTGAATGTCCCATAGATACTTTATGCTGAATATATTCAAAATGAAACTCCTTTCTATCCCCTATTTACCCCTTTTTAAAGTATAGCACTGCTATCCACCTAGATGCTCAAGCTCCAAACCTAGGAAACATCCTTACCCCTCCTTTCCCCTCGAAATCACAAGTGCATTTTTGATTTAGTGATCTTGTTTTGAGAGTTTATCCTATAGACATATCTGCATACATACAAGTAATAATGTGCAAGGCTATTCATTGTAGCATGTTTTGGAACAACAAAAGATTAGAAACAACCCAAGTATTCCATCTGTAGTGACTGCCTAGATAAAATTCTGGAACATCCATACTTTGGAATACTGTGATGTACCCCACTTTTAAAAATCTTATGGCATAGCAGGAAGATGTGATTCCAGTTTATTCAAACAGATATTTTGATCCAGCCTTCTCTTTGGATACAACACCCAAAATCTACAAAGCAATGTAAGGAAGAATACTCTGTTTCTCATCAGTAAATAAGCAAACAAGACAAAACAAGGTCTACTCTCTTAGCAACTTCTAAATATACAATACAGTATTATGAATTATAGTCACCATGCTGTACATGGCCATTGTATTCTTTAACTTTCAAAAGTCTAGAAAATCAAGATTCATGTAATTGGAATAATTTATAATTAATATTAGTGTGCCTTGTTTTCTCAACTTTTGTTTCACATGTATTTAAGGAGGGCCAGAATCAATAGAGTATATGTACCATGAATTGCTTACTTTATGAATAACAAACCTAATATGTATGATCATTGGAAATTATGTGTATGCATTTTTAGCATGCTTTCAAAACAAGAAGTCAATTACTGAGGCAAATTATAAGATTAAAAAATGCTAGTGTTTTGTTCTAATAGGTCTTTGTTGTTGTTTTTATTATCTTCAGGATATTAAAGGTTGGCTATAACAATACTTTAAAAAAATTCACAGTTTTTAAATTTTGTTCTGAAGACCAATTGCTATCTCTCTGTTTTTGTTTTCAAAAGGTGTTCTTAAGGACTATCTAAGAGAACTTCCTTCTCCCCTGATAACAAAGCAGCTTTATGAGGCTGTATTAGACGCAATGGCAAAAAATCCTTTGAAAATGTCATCAAGAGGATGTGAGAATGACCCAAGTGACTCTAAGGACACTGTTGACCTGCTTGATTGTCTTCCTGGTGTTGAGAAGGTAAACATATGTGGTATACCTTTTTCCCTAAAAGCCGGCTAATGAATATATACTTAGCTCCAGAGCTACAAATAATTTTACAGGTATTTCGTATTTGTGGCACTACGAGTTTAAGCTCTGCCTTTACTAAAGTCTCCTTAAACAGCATACATTTAAAAACTGCTTCTTAAACAGAATAAATCTAGATAAGAATTTTATCTTTTCTGTGTATAATTTTAGTTTAGGCACAGGTACTTCCCGTACATTTTTTTAAAAGTATGATTATCTTATTATTAAAATAATACATGTTTATTATAGAAAAATTGGGAAGATATAAAAAAGAATGGAAAATTGCAATTATCAATATCCAAAGGCAACAATTAACATATTAGTTTATTTCCTTTTAGTATTTAAAAAATATGGTAACTGTTTCAGTGTATGTGCCTTAGCCTCAAGACTTAAGCAACCCTCACCACCACCATTTCTTTCCTTCTTGCTTCTTTCCATTTGCCGCCTCCTCACAGTCTAAATCTTGAGATCAGTATCTTCAGGCATGCCTGCAGAGCAGATAGTAGGATAGCTGGGTCTGCAGAACAGTCTTAGCCTAACTAGCTGTTTTTCCTTAGAACAAAAGGGAGAATAAGGGTGATACGGCCGGGCTTGTCCAGATGAGACCAACTTTACCTATATTTTTTATCATGTGACGGTAGAAAGGGCATATATAGAAATTTTTTAAAAAACATTTTATCTATTTGAGAGAAAGAGAGAGGGAGAGAGCACAAGGTGGGGAAGGGGCAGAGGGAGAAAGAGAAGCAGAATCCCTGCTTAGCAGGGAGCCAAACTTGGGGCTTGAGCCTGGGACCCTGGGATCACGACCTCAGCCGAAGGCAGACGCTTAAACCGACTGAGCCACCCAGGCGCCCGAACATATAGAAATGTTAAGCCCCAAAACTTCATTCGCCAGTTTACTATAGTCTTCTGAACATCCTGTGCTCACTCCAATTAGATTAGCAATTACTACTCCTTTGGGTGGGAAGAGGGGAACAGCTACGAAGAGTAGGCAGCAGCAGAAGGGTGGGGTGAAGGGATAGAGATATTCTTTCTTTGATAGAAGGTAAAATTGTGTCATTTTACTTATCAGTGAAGAAATGAGTATCCAGGTATTTAAACACTTATCCAAATTATGTAGCTTTTTATGAGTGTTGTAGTCTGTTATCTGAATTTAGGCCTTTCAGGCCCTAAAGCTCATACAATTGGCGTCCTTTCTAAAAAGGCTTCATAATATTCCATTGAGTGAACTTGACATAATTTGTCACTATTATCTTTTGTGTAATATTTAGGTTTTGAACCTATTTGTATATATTTGTATGCAGAGATTTCTTTTCAGTTAGAATTATGTATTTAGAATAAAATCTCAGAGTGGAATTGTTGATTTAAATGATGTGAACATTTAAAGGTTCTTAATACATTTTCATGTTACTTTTCAAGAGGGACACAACAATTACATTTTTTAGCTCATCTTACATTGTAGACAAAAAAATATTTTTTTATTTTAAGTTGTATTTCTTGGCTTGCAATTGAGATTAAACCTAAGGTATTTAATCGGAGGTGTGTGTGTGTGTGTGTGTGTGTGTGTGTGTGTGTGTGTGTGTGTGTTTCACAGCACAATATGCTGAAACTAGCCTTAAGATGTCAATGAATGTAGGGTCCCAGTTATGTTAGGAAATGCATAGTGAATGGAGAAAAGGGACAGATACTTATTATTTACATTGTTTTTATGATTCATATATTTGATTTTTTTATTTCAAAATATCAATTATAGTCTCTGGCTTTCCTTCTCTCTTCATTCCTTTCTTTCACAGCCAAACATTGAAGGAATGTTTATTTCGGCTGTCCTTACTTCTTCACCACACTTGACTACTCAACACATGGTAATCTGGCTTCCCACCCCGCCTCTCTAGACTTGTTTTTGCCAAGGTTTCTAATGACCTTCTGATCACTGAATCCAGTTGTCCCTTTTGGCTCTAGAAATATGTCACTTTGATTTTTTTCAATTTTTAGAATTACAGTTTTATTTGTCATTCATTTCTTTAATTATAAAGAAGAAATTATATACTCATTTTATTTGTTAAATGATCATATGCCAGTACTTCAGAAACATTTTTTTCCATAATTGCTTGAACCTAAGTAACCTTCTACTTCTTGAGCAAACTCCCCTTATTAGTTCCTTCAAGTATTAAAAAGTATTCTTTTTCAACAAATTTTTCTGTTATTTCTAGCCATACTTTTCATCATTTGTCTACTTGAAGTATTTATTAGTTAAGTGCATTGGCCTTTTTCCTAATCTGAATCATGAAAGACTGGGTCATGTTTGAAATCGTTAGCTTCCTAGATTTAAGGATGGCAGTCCCCTATTTATGACTACAGGATTTATCTGTGCTTAAAGATGAATACTGTTACTTACCATCACAGCCTTTGCGGTTGTCATTTTAGAGGAGGAAAGAGAGGAAAATGTTGATGTATATTTTCACAGGGACTCCAGTTTTATTAATTTATAATTAATATTTTATATGTATAATTAATTAATTTATAAAAAATTTGGAATGCATTCATGAGCCTTTTATAAAGAGTATGTATTTTAACCATTTAATGGATCAAATTATGTCATCAGAACCTAAGGGTCCTATGTAATGTTTTTATAAGAAAATATGTTTCAAAGTTCCAAATATCCAACTTAGAACCAAATCTTTGAAACAACTTTTTAAAAAGTGACAGGATGCCTCTCTGTATTTTCTGCTATAAATTGTGTCCTTGAATTTGCCCCTGTGTATAACTCTATTAAGTGAAATGTAATTTAATTTAATTTAGGCAACCCTAAAGATGTTGCTGGATCATTTGAAATTGGTGGCTTCTTATCATGAAGTGAATAAGATGACTTGCCAGAATTTGGCCGTGTGCTTTGGACCAGTATTATTAAGTCAGAGGCAAGAGACTTCCACCCATAACAACAGAGTCTTTACTGATTCAGAGGAACTTGCAAGTGCTTTGGATTTTAAAAAACATATTGAAGTTCTTCATTACTTACTTCAACTCTGGCCAGGTAAATGATTCTATGGAAATATTTTTCTCTTTCAATGATAGGGTGTTTGAATTAGCTAATCATTAAATATGCCCATATATGATTCAAGAAAATCTTTTCTAGATTTTGCTTTTTCAAAGAGTTATGAATTGATACCTTTAAATTTCTCCATTTAAATTTTTTGCTTTTGCTGATAATATTGTAGACATATAAATCAATGTACCCATTTTGGTCAGATCTGGATTTGTATCCTGGTTGTGTTACTTATTAGCAGTCTGATCTTGGGCAAGTTCTTTAACATCTTAGAGCCTCAATATCATCTTTTATCGTATGGATTTAATAATATGTTTATAGAATTTATAGGAGAATTAAATAAAAAGTTATGTTTGTAAGGTGCTCAGCACAGCTCTTGTCACTTAATAGGTAATCTGTAAATACTAATTTCTTTACCCTTCTCATTTTTAGTTCAAATGGTATGAAGTAGAATTCACTTTTCGCCTTCATTCAGTTCTTCTTCCTGACATCTTTACTGTATTCATGGTTGTTCTTCAAATTATCCAGGCTTAACTTGACAATCATCTTTGATCTTTCCATCTTACTTATCTATCACTTGTTCCAGTCAATAACAAAAAGCTGACAGTTATTTTCCTAATATCTCTCTTACATAGTTTCAGAGCTAAAAGGAATATCTATTTAACTAGATGTTCTATATAGGATGCTGTATTTAAGTTTCAAAATTTTCTTATCCTGTAGTAACTCCCATTTCCCTTCCCCACCCTGCATAATACCAAACATGAAAATACTTAGGGGCTTTGTGTAGCACAGAGTGGTAAAAGTGCTTGGGCCCTGGAGTCAGTCTTGGATTTGGATCCGGATTGTGGCCCAGGCACATATTTAATTCCCCTAAGCCTCAGTATGCTTCTCTATAAATAGTGCCTACCTCAGGGTTGTTGTGAAAATTCTGTAGACAAAGCATCTAAGGCATTGAGCAAAGCGTTTTGCATAAAGTTAGCTCTTTGTTACTCTTTTAAGGATACATATGAGGATAGACCAAAGTACAAAGAAATGCTTGATTTAGTCTTTTAAAATACATCTAATTAATTATAGAAAGTGAATAAAAAAATTTCAACTTTTAAATTTATAAAGTTAAAATTTTTGCTTTCTTTCAAACACAGGCTTAAAAACCATTTCTAATTTATATTTTAATTGAATTGGTATATATTATTAATTATTTAAAAATCCTGAATCAAGACGCTCTGATAATTGGTTTGATTTCTGCATTTGGTACCCAACATAAGGGAGCTCTCAGGTTAAAGTTTTAAATGTGTGTCTCCTATAGTTTTTCCTACAACTGCTTTAATTCTCATAAGCATCAGGAATTGGGAAAGGAACCATCTTAATCATGCTAATCACAAATGAAAACTTGCTTACCCGGAGTTTAGTATCAGTACCTGATTTCTTTATTATTAATTCTGTATCAGAGGTTAATGTTATTTAAAAATAACTGCCCCAGAGGACCTGAATAGACATTTTTCCAAAGAAGACATCCAGATGGCCAACAGACACATGAAAAGATGCTCAACATCACTGATCATCAGGGAAATACAAATCAAAATCACAGTGATAGATCACTTCATACCTGTCAGAATGACTAATACTAAAAAGATAAGAAATAACAAGCACTGGTGAGGATGTGGGAAAAAGAGAAGCCTTGTGCAGTGTTGGTGGGAATGTAAACGGTGTAGCCACTATGGAAAACAGTATGGAGGATCCTCAAAAAACTAGAAATAGCATACAATCCAGTAATTCTACTGTGGGGTACTTACCCAAAGAAAATGAACACACGAATTTGAAAAGATATATGCACCCCTGTGCTTATTGCAGCTTTATAGTAGCCAAGATGTGGAAGCAGCCTAAGTGCCCATCAGTAGATGAAAGGATAAAGAAGATGTGAAACACACACACACACACACACACACACACACTATGGAATATTACTCAGCTATTTAAAAAAAGGAGATCTTGCCATTCACAACAACATGGATGGACCAAGAGGTTATCATGTCAAGTGAAGTAAGTCAAAGACAAATACCATATAATTTTACTTACATATGGAAGCTAAAAAACCAAACGAACCAAAACAAAAGCTGGAAATATACTCATAAGTACAAGAGAACAAACTGGTGGTTGCCAGAGAGGAGGTGGGTGGAGGGAGGAGTGAAATAGGTTGAGAGGACTAAGAGATACAGACTTCCAGTTACTGAATCAAATCAAGTCCAGGAGGTGAAAAGGACAGCATAGGGAATATAGTCAACATTGTTGTAATAATGTTGGTGACAGAGGGTCCCTACGCCTATCGTGGTGAGCACTGTGTAATGTGGAGCGTTGTTGATTCACTCTGTTTACACCTCAGAGTGATCCAGCCATATGTCAGCTGTACTTCAATTAAAAAAAAAAAAAAAGAAAGAAAAAACCTCCCCCCTTTTCTAATAACCTGTATTTTTCTTTAGGTATAGTACCTCAGATAAAGGGCAGAAAGATAGGGAAAATAAATACCAGTTAATTTGGCCCTCTAAATCATTTGCTTTTGGATTCAAGGAAAGGCAGACATCAAGCAGAAGCAGTGCGGTTACCATGCCTGAGAAAATTGGTAGTGATACGGAGAACGGGCCATAGCATATGAACTTGGTGAATGCCCGTCTCTGTGCATCAGGTAGAAGGGTTTGACCCTCCTTGCTGTATGCATATCTTACTTATTTTTCTTTTTGTGGAATTTCCCCTACTCCGGAGGTAAAAAGACTTGGTTCCACCCTTCCCGCCACCACCTTCTTTTTTTACTTTAATTTTTGTATTATTATTTGTTTTTTAATTTGGGGCAATGATAAAATTTGCTTAAGCTTTCCATTTGAAAAATCGTATCTGCAAAGTGATCAGTTAGAATCCTAGCTTATTGGAACTGGAAGGTAAAAATCATCCTGCCGGTGGCATTTCAGATTGTCCTCTGCCAAGCCCTAAGGTTCTTTGGAAGCAGCTTTGGAGCCAGATTGGCAACGGGTGAGGGAACAAAATGTCAACACACTTCCCTTTTGATCAAAATAGTCTTCTTTTCATCTTTTTTATGTATTGGATTTTTTCAAAATTGTTGCTTTTTAAAAATGGTTTTGCTGTTTTAAGAAGAATATTGAAATTTATTTTCTCTTTACAAATGGGGAAATAGCTTTAGAGAGAGTGTAACTCCTAGACCAGCTGTTTGCTGTATCACATTTTCTATGATGAGTAAATTTGGGGCAGGTTTTTTGGGGAAAAGCTATAATTTTTTTCTTATTTCTTTTTGTTTCATTTTTCTCACTAGACTAAGCCTGATGAGGTCAGGGATAATATTTTGCTTACCTTATGCACCCAAGTTCTAAGACAGTGCTTGGCATTAGCTAGGCACTTGATATATTCTGTTAAATAAGGCAATGATACTATATATAAAAGGCTAATAAAGTAGTGATTAAAATATAAATCTATCGGTAGAACAAGATAAGAAAATTAAGTTTCTTAGTACTTATCATTACATTTTGAAACATTTTCAGCAAACAGATTGCATTTTAAATTTTATTCTGTTGAAGTTGGCCAGTCATAGTGCTAGGAAAACCAGAACTTTCCTTTTGGGGTTAAAATTAGCCATTTTCTCTGCATTTTTTATAGGAAACAAGTCCACCATCAGTAGTTTAAAAAGTCAGTGAAGTTGATTTTTCACAAATTGAATTTTTAGTCGAAAAGATATAAAATACTATAATTGCTTTCTTAAATATTTTCCAAGAAAATATACAAAAATCATGTTTGAATAGGGATTTAGTTAAACAACTTTAAGTAATTGGCAACAAAATAAATCTGGGTTTTGCAGGTGAATGTCAGGACACAACAAGGTAAGCTCAACCCACAGTCAGAAATGTTTTACTTTGGGGTGCCTGGCTGGCTCAGTTGGTAAAACATGCAACTCTTGCGGTTATGAGTTTAACCGTGTTGCCAAGCATAGAGCTTACTTAAAAAAAAAAAAAAAAGTTTTACTTTGGACCACAAACCAGATGATTTCAAAGTTAGCAAAGTCCTGTAATGAAAACAACAGTCATTACACTTAAGCATTAAAAATAGGAATAGCACAGAAAATGAGGGAGAAAGGCAAGGAGACTTAGTAGGTATTAGCAGGTAGAGCAGAAAAAGGAATTTGAATAACTAAACAGTGGAAAAAATTCAGATATTCATTCTGTAATTGCATCGATTAATGGCATGGGACATTCTATATTAATATTGCTATTAAAGACCAATTTAAAGTAACTACCAGACCTTTATTTTCCAGAAAATTTTTGACCAAGAGATTTTAGCTGTTCATAATTATATATACTGGCCATCATAAAAATACAGACAAATGGAAATGTTAAAAACATACCTATATATAGTTATCAAGTATTTTAATAAAATCTAAGTAAAAAAAATTATGTGATCTAAAAAGTGTTGTTAAGATCACTGTAAGTCTGGAAAACTAGAACTATATACATGTTTGTATTACTTTTTAATTATCTTATTTTCTACAGTAGGAAACAAGCATTCATTATATGCTGGAGTGTGAAAAGTGGGTGTGTTACTACTGATAATATATTCACACTGATAATATGTATCATAGTGAAAGAAAGTATAAATGGAGAGGCATTTATTAATGGAGACTAAACAGGCAGAAAGAGAAAGGTATTATGGACAGTTTTTAAAAGCTATGCCTCAACATTTAAGTCCATTTTATATACAGAAGGAACCTTAGACAAATGTTTTGTCCAATATTCACAAAAAAGGTAAGCAGTAAAGCCTTGGTTTGTCATGATGTGTATATCATAGTAATCTGTATGGCCAGCACAATGTATACTCTTAGAAGAAATGAATATTAATATGAAGAATGTTACTTGAGATTGTTAGATACCTAACCAGAATGGGAAAATAAAATATCTGTACTGTTTTCAGGCAATAAATGAAGACTTAGTAGCTAATGCTGTGTAATCAAACTCAGGTAACAAGTGGTCAAGTCTAGTATTTGTGCATTTTATCAAAGTGAAATTTGGGCTGCTTAGTAAAAAAAATTATGACACTGCTGCTAATAGAATTGCAAAAAACGCACAAAGGTTAGAGTGAGCACTTTAGATGCCTTTGCCTCATTTAGACGTTTGCAGAAGAAGGAACTTTTGGTTTTGTTTTGTTTGTACACCAACATGCCTTGCCTGCTTTTTTACTGTAGCTTTTAATTTAGAAGAAGCTACCAGCTTAGCTACTCTTTGAATTATAGCTAGATAATAATTAACTTGCACCGAAAGTTAATCAACATCAGAAATTTGTTTGGGGATGTTATGATATGGCATGAATTAGCACCATTGAACATTCTACTAGCTTCTGTCCCTAATCTTGATTATTTCTGGTGATAGAAAAAAGTAATTATGGAATGCTTTATTTTTTAATAGTGTGCATGTTTTGTTTTAATGCATGTTTGTAGTTGATTATTAAACGTCTTATCTTTGCTCTGTTTTTTTAAGGCCAGTTGGATGGCTATGACTAAGCAAATTTATTGTTTGTTTCTAGTGCAACGTTTAACTGTCAAAGAATCAACAGACAACTTGTTTCCAGAGCAGAATTCTTCTCTAAATTATTTGAGGAGGAAGAAAGAACGACCTTGCATGTTAAATTTGAGTGGTACTGATTCATCAAGAATACTTAGACCAAGGCAAACCAGATTAGACAGCCCAGTTAGCAATCGTTATGCAGGAGACTGGAGCAGTTGTGGAGAAAACTACTTTTTAAAGACAAAAGAAAATTTTAATGATGTAGATTATGATGATGTCCCCTCAGAAGATAGAGAAAATGGAGAAAATTGTAGCAAAATGTATGGACCAGATATAATGATTGAACAGCCAGTACCCATGTCCAAAGACTACACATTTCAGACATACTTGACAATGCAGACAATTGAGTCTACAGTGGATCGAAAAGTCAATCTTAAAGACCTACAGGAAAGCATTGATACTTTGATTGGAAATCTGGAGCGTGAACTCAACAAAAACAAGCTTAATATGAGTGTTTGAGATTGAGAGTTTTAATTTGCTTTTTTGTAATGTTTTAAATTTCAAATCAGTCTTTCTCACTTTCTTATACCGCTCACAGTGATGGTTTTATTTTTTTACTCTTGAAAATTCCATTAATTTCTAGTAAGTTCATGTGATTCAATTAAAAACACTATTCATTAAGTTTTTACTTATCTTCATTAAAAAATTTTTCTTGGGGCAAAGATAACTTGGACTTGTGGATCTTTTAACAAGTATGGCCCATTCTATGGAGATAACTTTTAAATGCACTTATAAGGTTCAGATAAGTTATTAGCCCCTCATGGTTTTTGTACATTACAGGTACTGCTCTTTTGGAGCTGGAACAGATGTTTCTTACAGAGGAACGTGGCAGCTGCTCTGTCTGGTTTGCAGTGTGAGTCCACATACTCCGCAACATCATTTGATCATATTTCATTTGCAATGCAAATGCTGCTATAAAAAACCTTTTTATAAATAAAGTAAAATTATACAGATATTAATGTATTCTGTATTAACATTCAGTAATTATTTAAGCTTATAAAAATTAAATATTTTTATAATCCTGAAAATGTGTCTATTTATAAGTGCATATATGGATAGATATTAGAATGGGGGAGGCATTGGCTGCAGAATCACATGTATCTTTAAAGCATATATGTTGTGAGGCCAAAATTATTAGCTTAAAATGTCTTTTTCAGGGAAAGAACATTTAAGTTAAAGAAGTTCCATAGAAACACTTGAACCAAAACACTAGAAGTGTCTGAAGAGAAATAATAGACTTTCTTTTTTTTGATTCACAGAAAGTCACAATATTCCTAGTGAGAAATCATCTTTTAAATTGAAATCCTCTAATTTCTTAAGGGATTAAGAGCCCAGATTTCTGCACTAGTGATTTACATTAAAAAAAAAAATCTTCACCTGCTCTATGCATTTTTATGTTCTCCTTTTTAAAACAAAGTAATTATACTTTAAACGTATTTATTTGTAGTAGTACATTGATAACATTGACTTTATAATTACCCTCATTTGTTTCTAAAGAAATCTTGCCAACCTACTCCATGTTACTGATTTTGAAAAATTAACTTATTTTGGGCTAAGATAGTCACTATAGCAATCACAGCAGTGTTTGGAAAATGTAAATTTAGAAGACTTTTTTATTAAATTGGAATGTATTTTTTTAATTTTTATACCCACAGAACATGTAATTTTAAAATTATAAAATTTGAATCAACAACTTAAAGATGTAGCAGCCATTAGAAAACAGAATTCTTGATGTTTTTCTAAATATTGAAGTATTTAACTATTTCTACGTAATATACATTGATACACAGAACACCTTGTTATTTAATTTGAGAACTCAGTTGTTAAACCAGATAAATAACTATTTTTATATGAAAATTTAATTTTTTAAAGCTTCGTATAACAATTCCGAAGAATACCAAAAGAATATGTGACAGGGATATATATTGAGTAAACAGTCAAAAGAAATGCGCTTTAAATGTTTTTGTTTGGGGCACCTGGGTGGCTCAGTCGTTAAGCATCTGCCTTCAGCTCAGGTCATGATCCCAGGGTCCTGGGATCGAGCCCCGGGCATCGGGAAGCCTGCTTCTCCCTCTCCCACTCCCTCTGCTTGTGTTTCCTCTCTCGCTGCGTTTCTCTCTGTCAAAATAAATAAAATCTTAAAAAAAAATGTTTTTGTTTGCTATATCATGTATATTGTATGAATTGAATAAGTTGTTCCAGAAACGTAAAAGTTTTATTAAAGTATTATAACCTTGGTGTCATGCTATTAATTATCATAATGATTTTAAGGATTGCTTATTTTAATGTCATTCTTTTTAAACAAAAGTGTTAAGAGTATTGGACAATCGAATGTTATCCATAAATAGATGTAATGATATTTTTTGGTCCAGAATTGAATTATCTAGAATCTGCAATACTTTAAAGGCCAGAAGTATCTTGTTTTATAATTTTGGATGGAAATAGTTTAATCTCTGCCATCTTAAATAGAAAATACTAAACATCTGTGTTGTCTAAATCACTGAGTCCTAACTACAAATCTCTTTTATTGACTCTTCTGTATTTAGTAGTGCTCAGTAAGTTTATGCCTTTATTTTACATGACCTTTAACTTCAAACCTTTTTTGAGTTTTTATACCTGCTTCTTCTGCAATAGAAGACTGTCGGCTGTCATTCCCTTCTAAGTCTACCAGCCCCAGTGTTTCTTAGGATTAAAAACAATTTTAATTTTAGTGCATGTACCTGAATAAAGTTTCAAGCAATTCAGATGGATAGAGAATAAAAAGTGTGCCATTCACACCAGTCCCCCTTCTCAGAGATAACAGCTGCTTTTTATTCTTTGGGTAAGTACTACCTCCATCACTGGGTCCAGGTTCACTGCTGCTATTTCTTGATTTGTCATTTAAGTATGAATGATAAGGAATGTCCATTCCTCCTCCCCATTTAATATTTTTAGTTGTTCTTTCAGTGTCCTTTATAACTCTTAGTAATCTTTGTTTCTTGATCCATCTGTTTTAAACTGTCTCTTGGCTCGCTACCATTGTGGAGATGACCAACACTATACTTCCCTTCAGCCCATTACTGCCCTTTACCTCTTAATTTCTCTAAGTTACACGATTAGTTGATATAATCAACATTAATAGATTATATTATTTGGGGGAACTATATCTGACTTGTCTTTTCCTTTATATGTTGATTCTAAAAACTACAAACCAATAACTAGCCATTATGCGCTGGATTATGCAAAAGCGTTTACAGGTTAGCCAGGTGGTTTTGTCTCCTACATATCCAATCTATGTCCTGAAGTCTATGCTGATTTAAGCAGAATATTCCAAGCTAAAGGTCAAATGGATTATTTTATTGTATAGCCATCAACTTCTCCAAATCATGCCTTGTGTTATTTGCTTCATAATTGGGTCATGCTTTTGCAGATTTTTATTTTCTTTTATCTTGCTATTGAATTATCAGATTTGTTCAGAGTGCTTTTAGCTCTCATCCTGGGATTCATGAAGTACATTCTTGCCTTTTTATTTCTTTGACAGGAGAAAAATATCTTCTTCAGTATAAGCCTGAGATCATCCTAAGCTTTTTAACTAACTTAATCAAAAGTGGACAATGTGGCTTTTTAGCTGTCATCCTGGGATATGTTTTCCTTGCACTCCTATATTGTTTTGTTTTATATCTCACCTTTCTAAAATATAGGGGTGTTTTTTGTTGTTTGCTGAAGTATATAAATAGTTCCCTCCACCACACACACCTCTTTCCATCCCTTGTACCCCCCCCACACACACATCCCCCCACAAGAAGGGTGCTTGAGAGAGAAAGGTTTGAGTCCTTGCATTTCTGACAAGGCCTTTATTTTTTCCCCTGTATTTCATTTTGATTGGACCTGCAGTTCTAGATTCAAACTCATTTCCCTTCAGAACTGTGACGGTTTTTCTCTATTATCTTCTTGCATCCAGTTTTGCAGTAATCCAGGCAAGAAAGATAGTGGTTTGGACCAGGGAAGAAGCAATAGAGGTGGTGAGAACTGATTGTATTCTGGATATGTTTTGGAAGTAGGAGCCAAAAGAATCTGCCAGTGGACTGTGAGAGGAAGGGGTAAGGCCTGAGCAACTGAAGGATGGAGTTATCATCAAATGAGACTGAGGTGACTCCATTATATTTTTTAAATGAGCTCCTTGTAGTGGAAGTTGCTATTATCAATGTAGTATTTATCAAAATACTTATAATGTCCTTTTAACTATAAGTATTAATGCTTCTGTACTTGGTAATGATGCCAGTAGTCACTGCAAGAATAAGGCGGGAAGACTTAAATAAAGCCAAGTTCACATCCTAACTCTCTGGAAAACTTCAGATTGTGTGGCTTTGAAACAGGTTGGGATAGTGGTATGGTTCCTGAAAAGAATTAATGTTTCCAGACATAAGGACTTTAAGGCTTAGGATTTTATAATTTAAAGACACCAACTTTTAGTTACTTGGAAAGTGATCAAATTGTATTATGTTTAATAATAGCAAGTTTCTTTTTGAATCTTACAGACTTGAGGACTTTGGTATGAAGAAGAATGCTCTTTTCCCAGCCCAAGGCTCATTTTTAATTCAGTAAGGCTCATGTTTGATAAACATTGAAGTGCCAGAAATCAGAGTTCTTTTTTTTTTTAAGATTTTTTTAAAAGATTTTATTTATTTGTTTGAGAGAGAGAGAGAATGAGAGATAGAAAGCACGAGAGGGAAGAGGGTCAGAGGGAGAAGCAGACTCCCTGCTAAGCAGGAAGCCCGATGTGGGACTCGATCCCGCGACTCCAGGATCATGACCTGAGCCGAAGGCAGTCGCTTAACCAACTGAGCCACCCAGGCGCCCAGAAATCAGAGTTCTTGGTTGCTGTCTGACTCAGCCAAAAACTGGCTAATTCAGGCAGAAATGGAGTTCATTAAAAAATAATAATGATAATGTTTCAGAGGGAAGACATATAGGGTGCTGAAAACGTTTTATATCTTGATCTAGGTGGAAATTTCACAGGTATTTACATAACAAGTTCCATACTTAAGATTTTTGCTCTTTATATAAATCATACCTCAATTTTTTTTTCTTTTTAATGAGAAAGCTGGAGAAATAGACTTGGAAAATAAGCAGAACTAAGGCTAGGTGATCAGAATGACAGTAACCAAGGCTATGCCTGATTAGGGTACTGCCACCAAACACAGCTCATGCACACCACTGGAATTAGTTATAAAACCCCTGCTCTGCTGCATCATCCCTGATTCAGAGTCCTTGACAGAAGCATCATATTTTGCCCCAGCTTCCAGGTGTCAGGGAGCAATTAGCTAGAGTCCTTTCTCTGGAATTTACACGATGGTAAATTCTATGAATTTAAGAAGAGGCTTCAGATGCTAAGCATCCTGCCAGTGACAAATATTCACAACACTTCCCTAATCTTCATCTCACCCTATTACCCCCAAACTGGAGTCTTTCTCTCATTCCCCCTTACCCAAGCTATCAAAGTTCTGACTACAATATATCCTGAAACAGTGTACATAGGTTTGTCACTACTTGCACTCTAGACTGAGCTACCATCATTGCAATCTCTTCCTGTTTCACCTCTTTGCTCTCACTGTCTTCTGTCCACACACACAATCCATTCTATCCACAGAAGCCAAAGTGATCCTCAAGAAAAATAAATCGTATCATTTCCTCAGGCTCTTGCTCCCTGTGCTCTAGCAACAAGGAGGACTTCATTCCCGTCCTAGGATCTCTGCACTTGCCATTTCCTCTATGTGGAATGCACCTCATCCAGACTTTCCTTGAGTAGCTATTTTTAGTCATTTCACTTCTGTGCTCAAATGCCACTTCAGAGGCTACCTCTGAAAACCCAATTAGTAACCTGCTCTGAAAATTGGGGGAGGAAGAGGGCGGAGATTTCTGTTTCTTCTAACAGGTACCAAATAGTGACTGTACTATTTGTTTAAAAGATGGACATTTATAACTAGAAAATGTTTACATTTAAACCAAATTTTTTTTTAAAGATTTTATTTTATTTGACAGAGAGAGAGCACAAGTAAGCAGAGAGGCAGGCAGAGAGGGAGAAGCAGGCTCTCCGCTGAGCAGGGAGCCCGACGCGGGGCTTGATCCCAGGACCCCAGGATCATGACCCGAGCCGAAGGCAGCCGCTCAACCGACTGAGCCACCCAGGCGCCCCTACATTTAAACCAAATTTAAGAAGAAAAACTGTAAGGGGCACCTGGGTGGCACAGCCGGTTTAGCGTCTAGCTCTTGGTTTCAGCTCAGATCCCCATCTCAGGGTTGTGGGATCAAGCCCCACCTTGGGCTGCACTTTCAGCTCAGAGTCTGCTTAAAACTCTGACACCTCCCCCCGCCCCCCGCTCTCTCTCC